TCTTGAATATGTAATTATATTTAGGATATAAAACATTGTGCTGGCTTTCTGATATATACCTAAAAATGTTTAGCTGGGCAAAATATTCTTGGCTGGTGGAGAGTGGGTATCAACTGCAGTGATTGTAAAATAGGAGAGAGAAGGATCATACCTCTTATCAGAATATCATGTGTGGGAGAACTGTTCTCAAGATTTTTATATTGAGCAGAAGGTGGCATGGGCTTAAACAAAGTTTAAGAAATATTCATTGAAATCTCTCTTCTCTTAAAATTGAATGGAAACTGTTGTACAAATGTGTGTTTTTCTGGGAAAAGGATCGACATAGAGATCTTTATTCATGCCATATGTTCTTCATGTCCTCCGAGGGGTCTAGATTCAAAATTAAGATTAGGAACTACCCGTATAGAGCAGGAGAAGGGTAGTGGCTGAAGATCCCCAGTTCAGGAATGCAATAGAATTCAGCAGGAAGAAGTGAAGCCAAAGAAACACGAAAACAGGGCTGGATGTGGCACTGGCATTCTGAAATTCTTAAGGGTGTTATACACAATGCATGAATGGTAGCTACATTATAATGACTGTACTAGTTTAATGTCAATTTTATAAAACTGTTTTTATTTGTTGTAATATGTAAGACACAAAAATGTTTATCATTTTGGCTTATATAATTATAACTTTGTTGAGTAAGTGAAGGAATTACTGAATGTGAACGCTATGTAGCCAATAGGGAAACGTTCTAATTTAAAAGCATCTGAGCACTAGCATGTATGCATGACTGAATGCCTGAGCTATGACCGTGGGAACAGGGTTGCTGCTGAAGCTAGCTGGAGATTATGATCCGTTAAGCAAGAATGGGCATGTACAGAGAATCAAGAGTACCAACCAAAACAAAACTGGGTGTCCAGGATATGGGAACATTCGGAACTACCTGAATGTCAATCAAGAATAAATGCTGGTGTTTGGGGACATTCAGAAAACTCAGGAATGAAGGGAAGCAAAAGAAGCTGTCATTATGAAAAGCCATGTACCAAAACCAGTCCTTAAAGGAGTGCCAAGAAGACATTCGAACAAGATTTCATGTAGAAATTAAACTATATTTCTCCACTACAAGTTGGCCTGGGAGCTTTTGCCCCGCCCCCCCACCCCGCCCAGAGTGACAACAGGATCAAAGGTGATTGTGCCTGAGAGTCCTAGGGCATTTTGGAAATTTGTGGGTGGGTATTTTTGGTTAACACACTGTTGGGGGAAGGAGCCACGCTACTGGTGTTTAGTGGGTAAGGATCAGGTAATTCAGATTTCCTGTAATTTTTTTTTTCAAGAATTTTTACAAGAAGCCCAGCTATTTAGGAGAAGGTCATCATGGACAGGGAAACGTCAATGGAAAAAAGACACTTTCTTGATCTTACAAGATAACATACTCTGCACAATGTCTACTTCATATATCACAGTACAGCTACTTCAAAAGCAATGAAACCAGTGGCAAGTGTACCAGGATTTTGGAGACTCCTTTTAGCAGGGAAAGAAACACTAAACTGACAGAAGCACATGAAATTTAGAGATATCACTGGATTTCATTAACAAAGGCTGTTTTAAAACTACTTAGCATTTCCATCCTGTGTACTTACAATTTTTCTGGCACAATGAGAAACATGAAAATTCCTCATTGGGGGTTACTGGGCTTTTTCCCATTTTATTCTGATGCTGTCCTCAGAGCACCCATGATCACCCCATTGCCTATAGTACTCCTTTACCAATCCATTCTTTTAGCATTGCCTGTTGAAGGATGGGGCCTCTAGTTTGTGTGTGTCTGTGTGTTTTAAGCATTAGAGACTGAATTTATGCCTTATTTGGTGAAATTTCAAAGTAGAAAATACGTTTTCTGTAATACTTTGTCATCAGCTGTACCCCATCGCACAGCATAACAGGAGCTTGGCTTTGTTTTGTGTTTTTTAGCCCAGCTCATTTGAGAATATCACATGCTCCTTATTTTCCTACCCAAATTTTGCATCTCTGTAATACAATCTCCATATTTTATTGATCTGAAAAACATGTAATGTCTTTCCAGGCTTCCTCCTTCTATTAAAGGTATTCCTCTTTTGTGTATCATAAATAAATCAGTCTAGCCTGTTATTAATGCAGTTTTTTAAAGCTCATGGACTCTGCTCTTTTAGCTTTCTACACTTTTTGTACTATATAACTTTCTTAAATCCGAACTTATAATCATTATGGTATCTGCACAGGAGAAAGGAAGTAACTGAATTTGGAAGTTTGGGGCTGCAGGGGCAATGCAATCGAGAGTTGACAGTGGGTGCACAAAAGAACAGTCCGTGGAAACTAGACAGCATGAATTTGTACTGGAGATAATCATCCTGGTTTCATGACTCTCAGAATCAAAGCAAACAGAAATGTGGGGACTAGGGCTGATGACAGGCTTGGTAAATCCAGTCATGTCACTCCCCTGCTTATAATCCTTCAAAGGCTTTCCATTTCTTAACATGACCTTCAAGAGCTTCTACCATCTGTCACTGCCTACTTCTCCAGCCTGTTATACCATTCTCCCTGGCTTTCAAAGTTCCATCACCCTGGCCGAATTCTTCCATCCCTGTGGCTTTGCATATACCATTCCTTTTGTCCGTCATCCCTTATTCCCACTCCTCACCCTTTGCTTCAGCTGAATAATCACTTCTTCAGAGCCTTTCCTGACCCCCAAATCCAATCAGCACACTATCAATATAGTCTCTCAACACAGGCCTTACTTGTCTTTCATTAGACCTATCAGAACTGTATGTTTATTTGTATTAAAACCCTTCTCATACATAGAAAGAGCTCTGTGAAGGCAGGCACTTGGCCTCTTTTGTTGATTGCTAAATATTCAGCTCCTGGCCTAGTGCCTTATCACCAGCAGGGACAGCAGGAATAGTTATGAGAACTTGGGTAAGTTTTTTGTTTTGTTTTTAACTACATCCCCATTTTCTCATCTGTTAAATGGGGATAATGATGATAACTGCCAAGCTCAGAACTGCCATGTAGATTAAAAGAGATAATGCATGCCTGGAAAATATTAGTTATTATCGCCATCATGCAAAATAAACTCTCTGAGCAACCAGAACTCTCATATGTCACTAGTAGAAGTGCAAAAATGATGCACCCACTTTGGAAAACAATATACCAGTTTCTTAGATAAAAGTTCTATAAAGACCTACCATACAACCTGGCAATCCCAATTCTAGGTATTTACCCAAGTGCAATGGACTTAATGTTCACACAAAAAAACCCGTACATGAATATTTATAGCAGTTTTATTCATCATTGCCAAAAACTGGAAACAACCCAAATACCCTATCAGGGAATGGATAAACAAATTGTGGTATATCTGTATGGTGGATTACCACTCAGCAAGAAGAAATGAACTACCAATGCATGCCACCTACTGCCACTGATGAAACACAAATGACTCATATTAGGTGAAAGAAGCCAGATTCAAAAAGTGACATATTGTATGATTTCCATTTATATGACATTCTGGAAAAGTCAAACTATTGAGAAAGAAATGAGGTCATTGGTTGCCAGGGGAAGGGGTGGGACATAAGGGAATTTCAGGGGATGATGGGACTGTTTTAGGACTTGATAATTATGACAGTTATGTGACTCTATGTACTTATCAAAACTCATGGCATAAACTAAAAGTTTATATATAAATTATTTATGTTAAATAGTGAAAAGGTGGATGTAATTACCTTTTCCTTTAAAAAAAGGGCATCTTTTCTGATTACAAAACTACAGGTTAATTGTAGATATTTAAGGAAAATGTACAAAGAATATATTCCATTATCTTAAAAGTAGTATTTCCTTGCTATCATTTTTATAGATGCAAAATACATGCACATATAAACTGGACCATGCTGTACTTTTTTGCTTTCTGAAATATATCAAGCACATTTTTCCGTGTCATTAAATAATTTTCAAAATCATGACTTTATGGTTAATATTCCATTGTATGGCCAATTTATATTTTTAAGCCTTTATTGTTAGAAATTATATTGCTTCTCTCTTTTCTTTACTATAAACAATTCTGGTAAAATTAAAAAAAAAAAAAAAGCTCAGTGGAGCCAGGGACTCTTCCAGCTTAGAGTTTCAGAGTGTTTGGTAAAACAACTCTTCCTTTGCCCACAATTCTCTCATTGTCTTAAGTGTCTGATGGAAAAGTGGTTCCACAGGGTTATCTGGCCTCTTCCCTTTGTGGTACAAAAGTGCCAGATACCCTAACTAGCTTAAAATTGCATAGCGCTTTGTATATTTAACCCTCACCACTGGATATAGCAAGCACGGCAGACGGAGTAATTTGTTCAAGATTACACAGTTTATGAGTCGTGGAATGGGACTTAGGACTCCAGATACTCAAGGGTGTCATAAACATTTCCCCAGCGGCGGGGCTCTGCCTAATCCGGCTCTTTTAACCCCGCCTCGAGTAGAAAACTGCAGATACCCGCAGACAACTGCCGACAGATTGGCACACGGAGAACGAACTCCTGTCAAGTGGACTGTCTCATCCTACAAATCATCCTTGGCAAGATCGCCACTTACCAGCTGGGGTCATTTCTCCCCCGATGGCAGGTGGTCACCTACTGTCACTGACCAAGGGGGCCCTGGTGCCGGAGAGTCGCCAGCTTCGCGGCCAGTGAGGGTTGCTCCCGGTGGGTCGCGACGCTGCTGGGGCTTCCCCCACCCCGCCGCGGGGGGATCCTGCCGGGACGGCCAGGTCCTCCCCAACACCAGGCCCCTCAGTGAGGGGACGCCGCCTTCGGTGAGGTGAGGGCATGGAGGGGCCGCTGGACTACAGGGCGGTATGGGGAGTCTCCCGGGACTGCCCCGACCGCCTCCTCCGGGAGACCAGAGGTCAGTCCTCCGCTATCCCAGACTGCCCCGGATCCCGGAAGCGCCGGGCTTCCCGGAAGTGCCGGGCTGGCTGACAGAGCCGGCGATCGCCTGAGCGCCGCCGCGGGAGCGTTGCGGTTCTGGGGCTTGGGTGGCTGCTGGAGGATCGACTCGCGGTTGGGGTGGGCTGCGGGATGATGGAGGAAGAAGAACTGGAGTTCGCGGAGGAGCTGGAGGCCGTGCTGCAGCTCACGCCCGACGTGCAGCTAGCCATCGAGCAGGTGAGCGTTCCGCCCCTCTGAGGGGAGGAGAGTGCGGAGGACGGGGCCGCGTTAGGGGTGGGAACTGAGTGAGACGGGGAGGGAGCGGTCTACGCGCGGAGAGGTGGGAGCTGGGCGCTGACCGGAAAGGAAGGGTTGTGGGGGAGGTGATGGCGGAAGGGGGTTTTCGAGTGTAGGGGAGGGAGAGAGCCCTTTCTAGTCCTTGATTGTCTTTGGAGAGTGGGGCGTCCTGGTGCATTTGGGCAAAGGAGCTGTGCGTCCTCAGAGGATGAACGTAAAAGATGGGTAGTAACCTCAGATTCGGGGCGTTGTGGGTCCATTCATTTACCAGGCTGATTTGCTGCCACGCCCGATTCTCAGCCTAGCCCTCTTGTGAATGACTCGGAATTGAAGGGAGGGGTAACCTTAACTTCTGAAGCAGATCGCAGAGCAGAAGGGAATCGTTTGAAAACATCTCTTTGCCAAAGGGGGAAAATTTCCCTTAAAAGAATTGGCATAAGGGTATGATTTAAGAAAATGAGGGTTATACCACATTTAATAACCACTGGGAAGGTTTTCAAAGTAAGACATTACTACTCTTATTACTAATAGTTAATATTTATTGAGCATTAATACTTACCATGGGTCTGCCACAGCACTAAGAAATTTATCTGTATTGCCCCATTTATAAAGATTTTTAGATGTGTGTTTTTCTAGGAATGGTTGAATTACCCATTCAAAGCACATTTGGTACAAACTGTGAGGCTACCAGAACCCTCGGCAGAGGGTTTGGTGTTTCAGGCCACACTGTTCCCCTCCCACCTCCATCTGCCAGAAGAAGACATACATTTCATTTGCTGTTTGGACCGTCATAGAAGCAGCAAATAATGCAGTCAGCTATTGTTTGACCAAGATTTTAGCAGAGCACATTTTTGCTATTTCTTAATATGATTGAGTTCTAGCATAGGTTTATCTAATAAGCAGATACCAGAAAAAAAATTTTGCTTCCCAGAAAAACTATCCTGAACTGGTAAAATCCAGTATCCAGTACCCAGGGATCACAAGACTGCTTTAATAATCCACCTTGTTACATGTTCTTCAAGTTGCAACTATTGAAGGGAGTTACCTGTATTTCTCAGAAGGCAGCATTCTTTCTTTTGCTAAAGAAATGGACGGTTCCTGAATGCCACTTCGCCATTTCCTGACATGGTCTGAAGCATAAAAATTCCTTCAGTGCATAATGAATTCTACTGCTGAGACATCATCGAGATGTAGTGCATAAATCTGTTATCAAGACTTGCTTTAATATAACTATGTCATCAGCTGCTTTAATCTGACAGTGCACAGTGCCTGCTTATTTTTTCTTGTCCTTAGGATTTTGTTGATGCCTGTGGAACTTTTTCACTGTTACACACTTTGCTAGTGGCACCAATATATTAAAATTACAGAAGTTGGTGAAAATTAAAGATTTGCTTAAACAAATATTTTATTGAGCATCTGTTGGGTGTTAAGCCTTATAAAATGAAAAAATATGTGGTTTTTGCCTTCAAAAATTTTACCACCCAGTAGGGAAGAAAAAAATAATACATAAAACAAAACAGAAAGATGCCAGTTATTTTTAATCCCTTGTCCTTGTATAGGTATTTCCAAGCCAGGATCCTCTAGATCGAGCAGATTTCAATGCTGTGGAGTATATCAATACCCTGTTCCCAACAGAGCAAGTAAGTATAGAGTTTCCTTGATTTCAGAGGCTTCTGGCTTATTCTGAATGTTAATGACTGCTGTGTTATACTACATAAGCTAGGGTGTGCCTCAATAAACAAGTGAGAGTTAAATTCAAATCAAACTCCATTGTAAAAAAGGTGGTGGGGTAGTTAGCTAATACCAAATACTGTCATTGCATGAGAGTGGGATTCTTTGTATAGGGACCATATTGTTGGAGATTGTACCCTTAGGTTATGGGTCCTCTCAAATTTTTTGTAGTAAATTGAGGAGTGGAAAGAATTTTTTTAAATTTAATGGGGAAGAATGGGAGTGAGGTGGGTAGATAAGCCTCGAATCATAAAGCTACTTTAACTGCTATTTTTTTCAAGATGTAAATTTTTGGACTTTATGTTTTATATTGCTTTGTTGGGTGATTTGCCAACAAAATCGTGTACAGATGGGTTTTTCTTAATAAAATTAATTTTGGGTGTTAAGGTGAGAAGTAGACCAGAATTAAAAGCAGCAGACTTGGGAAAAAGTCAGCTAGAGATCTGGTATGTTTTTCATTTTTAAGTCGGCAAACATTCGTGGGCACCTGTCAGGTGTTGTCATTCACTGTGCCAGGCGCTGGGGATACAAAGGTGAATAAAACCCAGTCCATGACCTTGAAGTGCACATAATCAAGTTCAGGGACACACTGGTGAATGCTGTAGGAGAAGTATATAACAGTGTAGTGAAGAGCAAAAGAATAGTTCTTTCTAGGAGAACCTCAGAGAGGAGGCAGCGCTCTGCCAAGTCTTAACAGATTCAATTCCTTCATTTAGTCAAACTCAGCAATCATTTGTTAAGTGTCTACTAAGTGCCAGGCACTGTCTAGAAACTGGGGAGAAATGGTAAATATGACAGGAAAGTTCCTGGTCTCATAGGGTCTAGTGTGGGAAGAAGACAATAACCAAATCAACAAATAAGTAAACAAGAAATTATTAAGTATGGTTGATGCTATGATAGAAAACAGGTACAGTGAGAGAGCATGACAGCATCATGGAGCTCCTTTAGGTAAGTGGTCAGGAAGGTGTCCCCGAGGTACCTAACCTTTAAGCTGAGTCCTGATTCTTATGAAGGAACCAGGCTTATGGCAATCTGACAGAACACAATTCTAGGCAGAATGAATCTCTAGGCAAATCTTCCAGGATATCAGGGGAAAGAAGTCTGATGTAAACACAGGGCAAAGGCTTAGAGACTGGAAACACAATGTTCACAGCATAGCCTGGGAGGAGATGAGGCTGAAGGGGTAGGGAGAGCAAAGATCCTGAAGGAACTCTGTCCTCTAGGCTTGTGCCTCTCAGAGAAATATTTCCCATACAACCAGTTTTCACTGGGCTAAAATTTAAGCCTGTACCCCCAAAATATGTACATATCCTAGGACCATTCTTAAATAAATTAGGTTTTAGTAGCATTGGCAGTATCAATAAATAATAAAAATAGAGGTTTGAATATTTTCTTCTCATACCATCATGGGTATTATTGCAAACCCATTGGGTAGGCCACACCCTACTCTGGAGACTGCTATCCAGTCAGTGGGTGTTTATTGAGACTTTTGACAGGGTGATGACTGAATTAGATTCACATTTTTTTAATTCCATCTGGCAGCAATGTGGGTCATGAACTGGGGGAGGCAGAAATGGAGGCAGAAAGACCATTAGCCGGCTACTGGGATAGATCACATAAGAGGCATGGTGAGACGGGGAAGGCAGTACAGCATGGAGAAGACAATTAATGAGTCCATAACATCTTACTGTGCTGATAGACAGTGACTGCAAGAGAGGGGGTGAAGACTTGACAATGTGGGTGAATGCTGAAACCACTGTGTTACGTGAAGCCATCGTCAGATTGTATATGAAAGCGGCATGGTGAGAGCCTGAGTGAAGACTGGGGTGGCGAGAGCAAAGTCTAAAAGCTGTTTAGGGGACACAAGTCACAGAACTTGGTGGTTGAAGGGATATAGAACTAAAATTCACTCATTTACTCAGCAAAAAGCACCTCCTCTGTCTAGCTGTGTAGGAAATTTGGTGCTAGAGGGGTAGATAAGGACAGACATATATGGTCCTTACCAACATAGAGCTTCTAGTCTATCTTAATAGGTAATAATTACACCATTAACAGGTTATAAGTAAATTATTATGACCTCACAATGACTTGTATAATTATTAAAATTATTATTTACTTGCTCTCTAGAGTCTCCTCACTTCTACAACTATAATAATAGTTAACATTTATATGATGCATACTATGCACCAGGTACCATTCTAAACACTTAACGGTGATAAATTCTTTACTTTGTTAACACGCTTGTTTTATGATGAGAACAGTGAGACACTGAGAGAGAAAGATTGCTCACTTAACTGTGATAGCATTGCTGTGGAGGAAGCACACGGCGCAGCACACGGGGATCCAAGAAGGCTTCCCTGAGGGAATGGCACGTAAGCTGCACATTATATATCAAATGAAGGATTTTGAACTTTTTTTTCTCGACTGGCATACTGGTTGGTATTAGCACCTTTACCCTAATTGGGAATAAGGAGGAAGAGCAGGTTTCAGTGGTAAGTAGGGTAGGAACAGGGTGTGAGGGTGAGCTCAGTTTTGAACATCTTCAGGCCATCCAAGTGGAAATATGTGTGTAGTTGAGTATTTGGGTCCGGAGCTCATAATCCCCACAACTGTTAATACCCTGGCATATATCTTCCAAACTTTTTCTAATGGACATGATAATTTTTAAAATAAAGTTGGAAAAAATGGTCTCATACTGTGTGATTGGTTTTTTTTGAGACTACAGATAGCTTTTAGATGTCACATTTTTCTATGAAAGGGGAATTCTAGAGATTAGCTGGAGATAGAAATTTTACTCACGACAATATTTCATTATCCCACCCTATCAAGAAAATGCTGACTCACCAAAGCAAAAATAAGTGTTAGACTTGAAAATTGAAAGGAAAGCACTAGATTCTCCCTTCTTCCTGATATGTTTTTGTATGTATTTTGCTTTTAGAGTACAGAAGACATTTGTTGTTCTACACATTCAGTCATATGTATTTCCTAATTGTGCCCCAATGTACATAATAATGTGTAGTGAGGTTACTTAGGTAACTCAGAAAATTTATGTCAGAGGGTTACCTTTATTTCCCCAATCCCAGATTTATACTTAGCAGTTTATCATCTTCAACCCAGATTCCCAGGGACCTTAATGAAAAGGCAATAGAATGTAGTGGTTTTTCATTTCTTTCAACTATTGCTAGATTTTGGGCACAACCCATCTGTGTAGGCTCACAGACCTGTTGTAAATACTTGTGAATTATAAATTTAGAATATTTAAAATAAATGTCAGTATATCAAGAATCAATTTAGCGTCTCTCTAAGGAGGAGGGTGTGTATGTGTTTCTGTTGAGTGGCAACTAACTGTATGTCTGTGGTTGCCTAGAGGCAGGAGTGTGGACTGGCACAGATCCCCAGGGGTGTCTAACTGACCGAGTCCACGAGGGAGGAGTTCAGGTTTCGTATTTAACGGGGCTCCCTGGGTTGTGAGTAGCCAGGTTTGGTAACAACGATCTGGAAAATTGTTCTAGTCTCCTAGTAGTTATCTGAAGGTAATCATTTGTCATGTTTTCATTAAAGGTCTGATTAGGAGAAACTAGGAAAAATTTATTTAAAAAACTAATATGAAACTAATGTAATTAAGAACTTTGAAAGAAGAGTCATATGGAGCTGCTTATAAAGAATTTTTAGTGACCTCTAAAATGTAGGTCTGTGTTGTTACGTGAAAAAAATGGATGCCAAATTGTTTATCATCACACTTTAATTTCTTTAAGAAGCCATGCATTTGCACAGAAGGAAGAGTAGAAGGCAATATACCAACATGCTAATGATGATTATACTCTGCTTGGGGTGTGGGTGATTTTACATATTTTCTGTAGTCAGCAAGAATTGCCATTAGAATCAAGAAATCCTTTTCAATAGTTGAAAAATTTTTAATGATAAAAACTACAATCTCATTATAACTAAGCCAGGTTAGTGATTCTCAGGGAGGAGATGTATCACTTTAACCCAGGGTAGCCAATCTGGATACCTATGGGGTGTTTTCCCAACTCCAGGAGGGGCCCCCACTCCAGTGAGACTTACTGCCAGAGCCAGGTGCTGACCAGATAGCAAAGAGAGTCAGAATCCCTTGGGTGTGTTGGCGGGCAGGAAAATTAGGTCGAGAGCCTTCATATCAGAGGTAGCATGATAGAGTAAGAAAGAGCAGAGCCCAGGAATCAGACAGACCCAGCCGAATCCAGGAGTGCTGAATGTTACATCCATGACCTTGGACAAAGCGTCCATCCTTCAGTGCCTGTTTCCCATTCTTTACACTCTTCACATTGAAGAGGAAAATTGCATTCCTTGTGTGGTTGAGGGGATTAAGGCAATTTCTATAAAATGTCTGGAAGAGTATTGCATAACAGATTCATATTCAATGTTAGTATCTTTTCTCTTTTGCTTCTGCAACAGAAAATCTGGAAGATAAAGGGAAAGTGGTGATCTGTGGATCCATCCAACATGGAATCAAGCATTATAATTTTAGGACATTTCTTTCTGGCCTTTTAACCACTATCCGTGGGGTCCCTGATATTTTTAAGTGTTATTCCCTTGTTAGCATGTTATTATAAGTGATCTTTGTTGTTACAGAACTTCCTCCCCCAACATCTTTAATGGCGGCATAAAAGTCAATTAAGTATGGCCTGATTTATTTAAGTTTGCTACTGACGGCCATTTAGGTTGTTCCCAGGTTTTTGTCCTTGTAAATGCAGTTAAACCTCTGAAGGCATAAATATTTTAAATTGCTCTTAGAAAAATTGTTATGGCTTAAGCAAGACTTTCATATCTAAGGAATACTAAATTTAAGATTTAAGAAATTCTTACAGGCCCACCAAAAATCAATATTTACTGGTATGGGATGACCTCCCAGTTATATTGTTAAGTGAAAAAAGCATGATGCAAGGACAATGTCCATTAGATAAGAAGGGGGTGTGAGTTATGGGTGTGCTGTAAATACATAGACTATCTCTGAGAAGGTACAAAAGAATCTGGCTCAGAGCCATTGCTGCAAGGGAGAACTGGCGAGGGGGGATAGGCTCCCACACTGGGGAGAGGAAGCCTCATTTTTCACCATTTACCCTCCTCTACTGTTTGAATTTTAGGTCATGTACCTGTTTTACCAATTTTAAATAGATTACAATTTTTTTATTTTGATATAATTTCCCATTTTCAGAAAAGATACAGGAATAATACAAAGAGTTCATGACGACCCTTCACCCAGACCACCCAAATGTTAACACTTTTTTTTTGCAATACGAGCCCACTGGTTTATTTTTATTTTTTATTTTTTTTAGTTTTGATATCGTTAATGTACAATTACTTGCACAACATTATGGCTACTAGACTCCCTCTCTTATCAAGTCACCCCCACATACCCTATTACAGTCACTGTCCATCAATGTAGTGAGATGCTATAGAATCATTACTTGTCTTCTCTATACATACTGCCTTCCCCATGTCCCCAACCCCCTACATTATGTGTGCTAATCATAATGCCCCATTTTCCCCCTTATCCCTTCCTTTCCACCCATCCTCCCCAGTCCCTTTCCCTTTGGTAACTGTTAGTCCATTCTTGGGTTTTGTGAGTCTGCTGTTTTGTTCCTTCAGTTTTTCTTTGTTCGTATACCCCACCGATGAGTGAAATCATTTGATACTTGTCATTCTCTGCCTGGCTTATTTCACTGAGCATAATATCCTCTAGCTCCATCCATGTTGTTGCAAATAGTAGGATTTGTTTTCTTCTTATGGCTGAATAATGTTCCATTGTGTATATGTACCACATCTTCTTTA